AGAACTTAGTTTTTATCATGCTTTTCAAAAATTGTTTATCTTTTGTTCATTGTCTCATTATAAAGCCACTCCCACATTTGTAGTGTTTTTTAGAGCAGCCTCTCACTTTCAGACACCGGAATCTGTATGTTATGTATAGCTGCATAACAAATTACCATGACTTAAAGCCATAAAACAACACACATCTATTATTTCAGAATTTGTGAGAGTCAGAAACCCAGGCATGGATTAACTGAATTCTCTGCTTCAGGATCTTTCACAAGGTTAGAGTCAGAATGTCGGTCAGACTTGAGGTGTTCTCCGAGGCTCTACTGGGGAATGGATCTCCCATCAAACTCCTGTTGTGGTTTGCTGGATTCAGTGCCTCCTTTAACCTCAAACAGAGAGGCTGTAGCTTTTTCCTAGCGTTTGGATGGTGGCTGCCTTTAGTTTCTTGCCAAATGAGCCTCCACAGCATGGTGGCTTGCTTCATCAAACTGTGTGAGCAGAAAAGTATTTAGAGAGGCTGGTAACAAAGCAAAATTTAGAGTTTTATGTAGTGTAATCAGTCAAGTGGCATTCTATTATCTTTTCTGTATTCTGCTGGTTAGAAGCAATTATAGCTCCTGCCCATGGTCAAGAGGAAGATCTTACACTCGGCGTGCATGTCAGGAGACAGAGATAATTGGGTCCATTTTAAAGCTTGGCCGTGTCAGGAAGTAAAACCATCATACTTGAGAACTTTTTATCTTCTTAGAAGGTATAAAAATTATAAGAAAGAGTGAGATAGCAAAGGGTCATTGTGCCCAAGTTTCAATGTTGTATTCTGCAGCCCTGATTAAAGGGACTGAAGACATTTTCACTAGACTTCAAAATGCATTCAGGACAGAATATGAATGTGATATATTGTTATTTTTAAATAATCATCACAGTTCTAGTTAAACACAATGTTCATACATGGTTATCATGTAATACTAACAGCTAGCATTTTAGCATGCACTGTATGATAAACATGTTATCCTAAAAGCAATATCATTTGCATTAGCTACAGATCTTGGTTCAATCCCCAATTATATATACTTATATATTATATAATATAAATTATATATTATATATTATACATGTATATGCACTCAGAAGAAGCTATGTAGCCTTTCTTTCTAAACTTTAGTGTCTTTATCTATAATATGGGTGCAGCAATGGCATTTAATTGAAGCAAATGTGTTAAAATTATGAGTGAATGAACATCTTGCATCGTGTTCAACAAAGAGAAATCTTCAAATATATTAAATGCTGAAGACAAACATACATTGTAATTAAGTATAAAGGCCATGAACCAAGAAGACATTGTTGCATAGAAGGCTAACTACACAAACAGAAATTCAACCACTCAGGAGAAAGAAAAGAAAGAATCACCCAGGTGAGAGAATAACATTCTCTTATTCTAAAAGTTATAAACAATTTTCTGTTAAGGTTTCCATAATTTCACTGTAGAATGGAAAGCTATTTGCCATATATATTTATACAAGAACATATGCCACACAATGCTCATCAATATGGAATCCATTACTGGCTTTTTCACTGGATGCGAGTTAACGCACTCCTCAGAGTATGAATGTGTATCTTCATTGGGGTTCAATGGATTTCTCATAATCATTACAAAGGTATGGAACCAATAGGAAAATCTGAAGAAGCAGAGCTCATTCTATAACATTTTTATCTTGACCTATGTATTGCTAAGCATTAAAAAGTTGCCCGAGTTATATACTTCATATCCCAGCTTTTCTACCTGCTGCTAAAATGTGTGCATTTATTTTGTTGTAGTTTATGTTGATCCAAAAGCTTCTTTTCTGTCAGTATCCAGTGAAAACACTAATTTATTTTTTTTGGAAAAAGCTGGAAATTTTTTATGGCGGGATGCCCCACAGTTCTTGGTGGTATATAAAATTATCCTTAGGGATGCAATACCAGAGATGAATACCAAATCTGAACTCTCAACTACTTATACTGTAAGAGATTAAAAATTTAAATAAAAACATAAGAAAGAAAATGATCTTTGTTACTTGCTAATTTCCATGGTTTCTAAGAAAATGCTTTAGAAATAAGCTTATTTCAAGAATTGCACTTTATAATATTTGCATACAGAATGATTTATAAAATATAACAACTTTTAAAACTCAATTTCTTCAGCTAAATAATTGTTTTCATAACTTTACTAAATATTTTGCTTTCACCTCATTTACAATATTTACAGAGCCATTCATAAAAACAAGCCAAATTTGGCAACTAATTTCATTCAGAATACAATGATATCTTCCTAGCTATTATACATTAAAATAAATTAAATGTCTAAGCTCTCTCTGTTAGACACGATTAGATAATCCACTAGTCTTATTCCAGTTCCTTAAAAATGAAGATAAGGTGATTTACTGATTTTAAAGTAAAGAAGAGAGAGCGGTAGGAATAAAAATAGGCAGACAGAAATATTCAAAGCGTGTACTCTACCATCAGGCTTTCTAGACTTTCCAGAACCTAGAAGTAAAACTGAGCTGGTTCTTAATAATAAAATAAACTACAACCATTTTACAAATTAAATGCTCTCAGGCATCCTAAATTTCAGTGTTTTAAACAAGCAATCAAAATACATGAATCAGACATTATCCCCTATATTCCTGAACATTGCCATCCTTCATATGTTTATATTTTCTGCCACATTACCTGATTTTTTTTCCTATTTCTGTACCAGCTTCACAGCTTATTTGCTTGCAATACAGCGAAACTGCCTTTCCCCTTGCCATGTTCTGAATACATGGTTTTATGTTAGAACTTAAACAATGGAGAACATATCTCTGTCTGCCCAATAAGCTATATTATGGCAGAAAATCCTGATTTTTAAGCTTTCACAGACAGGGAGAACAGTTTATCTTTTGCTTTCATTGAATCTATTTTACATATTGGAAAAATCTGCTGTGGATAAAATAAAACCTTCTTTTTCTGCCCACCTCCTGTGTGTCTTCCTTCAAGTTATCTTTCTTTTTTTTTTTTCCCCTTTGAAAGCCTGGGGATTCCCTTTTGAAACCATTTGGTCCACTAACAGTACACAAGACTAAAAAAAATGTTTTATTTAACCGTTAGCCCACACTCATTTTATTTTCCTTTCATTGCAAATGCCTGTGTTCAAAGTCGTAGGCAACAAATATCTCTGCCTCCTTATGCCCATTGGTCTCCACCTCCCGGGCTCAATATATCCTCCTATCTCAGCCTCCCACATAGCTGGGACTACAGGCATGTGCCACATGCCTGGCTAATACTTTTAATTTTTGTAGAGATGGGGTTTTGCCATGGTACCCAGGCTGGTCTCAAACTCCTGAGACCCAGCAATCTGCCTGCCTCAGATTCCCAAACTGCTGAAATTACAGGAGTGAATCACCACATCCAGCCTCTAGTAGGTATTTACGAAGTACCACCTATGAGCAGTCTTTGCCCTAGCATGAGGCATGGCAAAGAGTAAGATCATGGTAGCAATATTGTTTAAATTTTCAGTGAGCATATCTATCTGTAATTTAGAATATCTACTTACATATATTTAGTAGAAATTTTTCTATTATTTAAAAATGACACAATAATATAAATAACAATATAAAATATACCTCCTCATCATTTTTCATTGTTCTCAACATTGGAGTATATTTTGTTTCCTCTTCTATATTTTAAACACCATATTTTGTTTTGATCAAAATGTGCTTTCCTCAAATCTTCATGTCCTTATATATAGCACATTATTTTAATACAATGATAAACACTAAAAATTAGTCAGTGATCGATTACTATGCCTTTTCATTATTATAGATCAATTGGTGAATTTTTATATTATATAACTTGGTATATATTATATGTATTACATAACAATGTGATATATCATTATCTCTCTTATATGTGTATATATATATATATATATGCACGTAGAACATATCATACATGTAAGTATCATTATGCCCTGTGTGTGTACACATGTGAACATACTTGTATGTGTGTGTATGCACTTGTATGTGTTTGTGTGTGTGTATGTGTGTATGAGAAAAATACATGGATAGTGCCTAAGTTAGAGTTAGTAGAGCAAAATAGGGCAAAATAAATTATTTAATTTATGACTTCGTACTTTGAGTTTCTGTGCAGAGCCTATTAATTTATAGTGTCACTAGGAACATATAAGTAAACTCTTCTATTAGCAATATAATTTTTAATTAAAAATTATTTTCTCATCTCATAGCTTTCTTACTATTATTTTATCATGTGTGTCTTTAAACAGTCTAATTTTTTAGTGGGTCCATCATTCACTCCAATTATCATGGGTATACTTAAAAAGTGATTGTTTCATTTTCTGAAAAACTTCTAATTTTTTCAATGCCAAAATATCAGAGTTCAAATTCCAAAGTGTGGCTTTTACAGCTCTTCATTATCTAGTTCAAATATGCTTGTTGAAATTCATATCTTCTTGCTTTTCCTTCAAACTTCTAACCTACAGAAGACATGGCTGGCTCTTATTCCTACTACAACAGGCACTGATTCAACCCTGTCTGTTCCATTTTCCAGTTTTCTCTACCTCCATGCCGCACATTTCTCTCGGCAGATTGTAAATACATTTGCCTTTTCTAATTCATCTTGTCAGAAGAAAACTATAATTTATAAAATGTGTTTCTCTTTTATTAGGTTATACTCTCCTTGTTGACAGTGACTAGACATTTTTTTTTTTTTTTTTTTTTTTTTTTTTTTTTTTGCTGCAACATAATGGATAACACCTGGCCCAAGAAAGATGTTGAAAAAATATCTACCTCTGCTGCCATTTTAGTCACTAGAAACATTTCCCTTAATAACATTTTTTTGTTTGTTTTCCGACTTACTGTAAAGTTAAGGTGACAAACTAAGCTTTAAGAAGGCTTAACAAATGGCCCACTTCCATAAGAATTGAATACCTATTATTTATCTCTATGCATGCATCATTTTATTTTATTACTTTTTTACTTCAACATTTATTTTAAGTTCAGGGTTACATGTGGAGGATGTGCAGTTGTTATTTAGGTAAAGAGTGTCATGGTAGTTTGCAGCACAGATCGTTCCATCACCTAGACATTAAGCCCAGCATTCAGTAGCTATTTTTCCTGATGCTCTCCATCCCCGCAGCCCGGCCTCCAAAAGGCCCCAATGTGTGTTGCTCCCCTTCATGTGTCCATGCATTCTCATCATTTGGATCCCACGCATAGGTGAGAACATTTCTTCCCAGTTCTAACTCCCGAAGCCTCCAGAATTTCAAACTCTCCGGAGCCGTCTGAAAGCCACTGGTAACCAGGGCTCCCCGGGGATTCGGAGTGGGAATAGACCTCCACTCTATCGGCCACCATGAAGGCCGAGTAGAAGCCCACTTCAAACTGGCCGACGATCTTGCTGCTGGCCTCAGCCTGATTCTGCAGAGCATCCAGGAAGGCCTTTGACCCCGATCTGGCGATCGTCCCCAGGTTGGACACCAGCTCTTCCTGTGTCAACCCTATGCCAGTGTCCTGGATGGTGATGGCGCCTTTCTCGGCATCGGTCTGCAAGTGAATCTCCATTTCTGGCAGGGCTTGGCCGTCAGACACCAGTTTGTAATGCAGTTTTTCCAAGGCATTGCTGGTATTGGAGATCAGCTCCCGTATAAACACCTCTTTTTCTGAGTAGAAGGACGGGGCAACGATGTCCAAAAGCTTCTTTGTGTCGGCCTGGAACTCATGTTTGGAAGTAGAACCCTGCACGCTCTCTGTGCTGCTGATGATCGAGTGCAGAGGCTCCTCCTTGTCCTCGCGGTCTGCGTGCCGAATGGTTGTCCTGCCTGGAAGCTCCAGGCCATGTTTTGCCTGGGGCAGAACTGGGCTGTGGTCCTCCGTGGACACAGAATTGGTTTTCCTCCAGGGGAGGCCGCCAGCGCCAGCGCCCACAGCAGACGCAGCAGTTGGCGGCCACACAGCAGCAGCGCCCGCAGTTCGTGCGCCAAGTTGTACTCTCAGGGCCCGGCGCGCAGCCAAGCAGGACAGAAGGGGGCAGGGCCTAACGGGGTGGGGCCATCCTCTGGCGCAGGGCGATGACGTCACGGTGGGGCGCCGGGCTGGCCTGAGCGCTCCATTTTTCTATTCTTAATAAACCTCTATTGCTACTTAACTACCCCATTGCTATTATCCTGTAACACTACTACTACCATACCACACTGCTACTGCCTAACTACATCTTAATTACTGTTTTACCATACTTCCGCTGCTAACTTACGACATTACTACCTTGCTATACTACTGATAGCTACAATGCTACCTACTGTAACCACTGTATTATGCAAAATGTGTATTAGTTTTCCAAAGCTGCCATAACAAAATACCACAGATTGAGACTTAAACAATAGAAGTTTATTTTTTCACAGTTCTCGAGGCTGCAAGCCTGAGATCAAGGAATAAGGAGGTTTGGTTTCTTCTCCCATCCTCTTGGCTTGATGATGGTTGTCTTCCCACTGCGTCCTCACTTGGTCAGGATCCTCCAGAGAAATAGAACCATTAGGATGAGCATATATACAGAAAGAGATTTATTTTAAGGAATTGGTTCATAAACTTGTGGAAGCTTGGCAATTCCAGAATCTAATGGTGAAGGCCAGTAGCCTGGAGACTGAGGAAGAGTTGTATTTCGAGTCCAAGGGCAGTCTGCTGATAAACCAAGAGGAGTTAATGTTGCAGATGAACTCCAAAGGCAATTAGCTGGCAGAATTTCTTCTTGCTTGGGAAAAGTCAGCCCTTCGTTCTTTTTTTTTTTTTTTTTTTTTTTTTTGAGACCGAGTCTCACTCTTTTGCCCAGGCTAATGTGCAGAGGCCTAATCTCAGCTCACTAAAACCTCCACCTCCTGGGTTCAAGCAAGTCCTCTGCTTCCATCTCCCAAGGAGCTGGGATTACAGGCATGCACCACCATCCTGGGCTAACTTTTGGATTTTTAGTAGAGATGGGTATTTGCCATGTTGGCCAGGCTGGCCTCGAATTCCTGACCTCAGGTGATCCACCTGCCTAGGCCTCCCAAAGTGGTGAGATTACAGGTGTGAGACACTGCGCTCAGCCAGCATTTTGTTCTAGTCAGCCTTCAACTGATTAAATGAGGCCCACCAATGTTATGGAGGATAATATGTTTAACTCAAAATTTAACTATTTCAATGTAAATCTCATCTAAAAACATTGTCACAGAAACACACAGATGAATATTTCACCAAATATCTGGGAACCATGGCTCAGCCAAATTGACAGATAAAATTAGCCATCACACATGGTCTTTCCTCTGTACACATGCATCCTGGTGTCTCTCTGTGTGCCCACATTTTCTCTTTTTATAAGGACACCAGTCAGATTGGATTAGGGGCCACACTAATGGCCTCATTTTAACTTAGTTACATTTAAAGGCCTTCTCTCCAAATACGATCACATCCTGAGGTACTGGGCATTAGGGCTTCAACATATGAATTTTGGGAGGAAATAATGGAACCCATACACTGATTTCTACTACACTTTACTAGCCCTACCATCTTGCTACACTACCATTGCACTACTACTACTGTTACTACTACTCATCCTCTTTCATTGCTAATACTTCCATAAAGTTCCCTCGAGTTGCAATTTCCTGTGTTTCTACAAAATAGATTGTACACAGTTGGCACCATGAAAAAAAAATTCCTGATTCAGGAATTTGCCATGGCATCATATTTGGTCTCCATCATCTCTATGACTAGGGGAACAATTTCCTTTCAGTTATCGATATCAGGAAATAAATCATAGATGGACTGTTCGGAGCATGTCTTTTCTCAATCTTACCAGTAATTGTGCAGAGAGTTTGCTACTTTCTGGAAGTTTCCCAGGAAGAAGATATAATTTATTTGGGCTGGGATCTGGGAATTTCTCTGTTAATGTAGAGGTAATTATTGGTCATATGATATTTTTGGTATCACAAACTAAATCATTATCCATAGCTAAGCCTCCAAGGGTATTATTGTTAATGTTTTACTATGTATTTGTACAAGTACAGTAGACTTGCTCCCCGAAGTCTTTCATGTAAGAAAGAAAATTCAAAAAGATTATTTAACACAACTAAGACTCTTCCATGGCTATCATTGTTTCCAAAACTGAAATGTAGCTGGATTTCCTTTGTATTGCCATTGCCGTTAATAAGAATCTTTATACCACAAAGAAAAAAAACCAGACTGGAATGTTTCAGGGCTAGATAAAAGCAAAGGACCGGCAGCTTATAAGGGTAAAGCAGTGAGGATGGGAATTCAGAAATAAAAATGCATTGATATTTCTTATAAACTTGCTGAGTCAGCTCCAGAACCCAAGGTCCTGAGATATATGACTCTTGGTTGATGAAGGATTATGTAAGCATTCCAGTCAGGGTCTTGACATAAAATAAATAGCACTTCACAAAGAGTATAATTGAGGAGAGTAAAATTAAAACACCTTTTAAAATGTGTGAGAAAGTATGAAAGAAATCAAGAAGGAATGATAAAGCAGATACCAGAAAGAAAGCCATTGGCCTTGTTGGAGATGGTAAGGGAGGGGTCAGTTATAAGAACTAGATGGAGAACGGAAGCTGAGGAGGGATTACCCCAATAGGAACTGTTGGCTTCAATATAGGAATAAAGAGACTGCTGATGTGGTCCTGGAGAGAAGAAATCCAGAGAAATAAAAAATGTCCTTCCTTACTTTACTTCCTTCCTGAAAATATCCTGAGAGTATTTTCCATTGGCATATGCTGACTGGAAGTCCCCCAGTAACCTGGCGATGGATTCTAAATGGGTAAAGACAAACACACACACACACACATACACACACACACGTATATGCATGCACACATATATGCACATATATATGCACCAAAATGTGTGCATGCTCAACATCCATATATGAAATGATATAGTATTTGCATATAACCTACACACATCCTCCTGTTTACTATAAGTAATCTCTAAATTATTTATAATACATAACACTATATAAATAGTTGTTACACTGATTGTTTTCTATTTGTATTACCTTTATTGTATTTTTATTTTTTTATCTAAATATTTTCAATCAGTAGTCAGTTGAATCCTCAGATGCAGGAACCATGGAGATGGAGGGCCAACTGTACATATAAATTTAATTATACTAATAAATAATCATATGTCTCACTTTTCATGAGGATGTTCTCAAGTTCTTAACCAGTAATAGAACATCATGGTATATGATTACATAAAAAATAAGAACAGATCAGTGTTTCTATACATACAAAGTCACAGGATTTATCAACTGATTAATTCAAGACCATTCTCTAATGCTACTTAACTACAGTTAGAATTGGCTGTCTGCACAAAATTCCCACATTTGAATCCTACAGAACATCACATAGACTCCTTTGGCTAATACCAGCTGGTGGAGTCATTCCTACTTGGACTTCAGATCATTAATAACTATTAAGACATGATGCTGCTTTCTGCTCCCTCCTCTATATAAATAGATTTTGGGATTCAACTGATTTCATATATACAGCTGATCCAATAAAAGTTGAATCCGTAAATGCACGGACCATTAATGAAAGCTATGCAGAAGACATGTAAGTTTATACTGTTTCACTTATAAATGAATATATAACCTAAGGAGTCTAGAGGAACTTCTGTAGGCTGGGGAAGAGATTAAAAATTCACACATGAAAGCCTTATATTTCTGCTGTCATCAATCTTAACTGGGTTCCGCACCTAGAACCATGTTCAAAGATTATTAATAGCAACAGATAAACAATGTCCTCATAGATTTGAAAAATGCTACTATGTACACGTTTATATATTTAACTAAGTTGGTAGTGGATAAACATATGACTTGTTTTAGGGGTTAAAAATGGTTTTAAATAGATCTAACATTATTCCTTTAAGTAAAAAAGAAAAATAGTGCAGGTGAAGGTAGAGGCAGACTAAACAGCAAGAGACTGTCACAATTTATTCATACATTCACATAAATTCTATCCTGCTATGATGGCAAGCTTGTGAATTTTGTGAATACATACATAGATAAAACAGGCCCTGTTGGGCTCAGGAAGTGTATTCTTTACAGAGGACTGGTCATTATTACATGGGCACAAGTTTCTATGAGCCACTAACAAAACAAAAATAAATATGGACAGAGGATCTGCAGTTTATCAAAAATATAACGGCTTTCTTAGAGAATTTTTCGAGGGTACCTCTTAATACAAAATTCTACAGAAGTCAGTCTTATTAATTGCTGTAAACTGATTGAGGCAGACCAGCTGTTGGACATTTGCCCAAGCACACTCCCACACAAGTTCGTGTCACTCATCCACATGAGAGTCCTCCAGAGTCCCCCTTTATTGGGAACCATGAAAGAGTGGCACAGAAGTCCTATTGTGGGAGTCCTCCCTCTTCTCAAAAACACATCCCAAATAAAGTTGGAAATTTGCTTTTAAAATGTCTTAATTTTCACACTTTATAAACGTATGATGTCTGATGTTTATACTAGGTTGAAGAATGTCCTGCCCCATACCCTCACACCTTGCCTAAATTCATGTTCACTCAGAACCTCAGAATGTAACTTTAAAAAAAGAGTCCGCCAGGCATGATGGCATGACTGACCAACATGGAGAAACACTGTCTCTACTAAAAATACAACATTAGCTGGGCATGGTGGCACATGCCTTCCAGCTACTCAGGAGGCTGAGGCAGGAGAATTGCTTGAACCCGGGAGGCAGAGGTTGTGGTGAGCCAAGATGGTGTCATTGCACTCCACCCTGGGCAACAAGAGCAAAATTCCATCTTAAAAAAAAAAAAAAAAAAAAAGATTCCTTCAAGATGTAGTTATTTAAGATAAGCTCATATTGGAGTAGAGTGCACCATAAGTCCAATGACTGGGTTCTTACAAGTAGAGGAGAGGAGAGACAGCCATAAAGACACAGAAGAAAGAAGGCCAGGCAGCAACAGAGGCACATATTGGAGTGAAGCAGCAGCAAGCCAAGGAATTTCAAGGCTTGCCAGCAATAACCATCTACTAGGAGGGACAAGTACACTTCACTAGAGGGAGGGAGGATGGCTGTGCCAACAGCTGAGTTTGAATTCCTAACCTCCATCAATGTGAGAGAATCAATGTCCTGTTTTAAGCTACCCAGATATGGCAGCGCTAGGAAATAAATACAATGATGTTGGTCATTCTGGTTGAGGTGATGTTAAAAGTTGTGAATATCTTAACTAATTATCTGAAATGTAAA